TATATATATATATATATATATATATATATGCCTAATAATTTATTATATATAATAAATTATATTAAATATAATAACATACATAATTATACACAATAACATTATATATATAACAAATAATATTATATATAATAAATTAAAAAATTTATATATATATATATAAATATATATATATATATAATATAAATAATTTAAAAATAATAATAATACTAAAAATGTGCTCTTTCGACTAGCGATTTATCAGTGAAAAGTCAATGTATACAAAGATACTTTCCTATCTCGCGAGAAATATGCTCTCTTTGAAAAGGCATGCAAGAAGGCCCATCTAAGAATTAAGCCACGAACTCGTTCGAGATCTGAGCGATGCGCTGGAATTTGAGCAGCAAGCTGAATGCGCTTTAGTTCAGTCCGCTTCAGCACCGATTTCAAACACCTGACTTCAAACACCTGAGTCAGCGCAAGAGCCTCAATCATCATGGATGTGTGGAGGGCACCTCTCAGGCCAGTGACGTCCCAAGGAGAGCACACGCAGCTGGAACAGGCGACAATCCTGCTGATGGCCCGCGGCCCTGTGCCCATCAGCAGCGGCAGCACTCGTTCCAAAGCCTGCGGCATGCCTGGTAAAAGCTGAGGTGAGTCCATCAGAGGTGGAACGGGAGACTCTCTGTCGCCCTGAGTCTCAGTTACAGTGAAATGCAGCCTAACAGCGTTATTCCGTGCACTGAGCCCAAACCCGTGCAACACGCCGGTCCTTGGAGATTGCACCATTCTTCCGCCGTATCTCTTACGCAGCCCTGCGGTCTGCAAAGAGGCGTGTACAAATCGCCCCTTTCTTCAATGAAGACGTCAACAAAACACTGATGGAGTGGATGCTCCCATGCTCCCAGCGTGCCATTCACGCCCTGGTGTGCCGGTTGCCGCCACGGCATGGGGGAAGGAGAGAGAGAGAGAGAGCGAGAGCGAGAGCGAGAGAGCGAGAGAGCGAGAGAGAGAGAGAGAGAGAGAGAGAGAGAGAGAGAGAGGAGAGAGAGAGAGAGAGAGAGAGAGAGAGAGAGAGAGAGATAGAGAGAGAGAGAGAGAGAGAGAGAGAGAGAGAGAGAGAGAGAGAGAGAGGAGAGAGAGAGAGAGAGAGAGAGAGAGAGAGAGAGAGAGAGAGAGAGAGAGAGAGAGAGAGAGAGAGAGAGAGAGAGAGGAGAGAGAGAGAGAGAGAGAGAGAGAGAGAGAGAGAGAGAGAGAGAGAGAGAGAGAGAGAGAGAGAGAGAGAGAGAGAGAGAGAGAGAGAGAGAGAGAGAGAGAGAGAGAGAGAGAGAGAGAGAGAGAGAGAGAGAGAGAGAGACGAGGCAGCTGCTGCTCATGTTCCGCACATTCACCTCCTCTGCCACTGCTCGTCAGATCACCAACTGGTGAGTGTAACGATTCATCATGGGCTCGATCGGATGCGGGTTGTAGACCATCAAAATGAACATCAATTTGGACATCAGTCGGTCAGCCAGTTCAACCTGGACACTGATCATTCGATCACAAGCCCGAGCGTTCTGTTCGAGCCCGGCCAGTGCGATCGGCGATCGCGGAAGGTTCGATAATTCGGGCCTTACGGACAGGGACACATGGCCGAGTACACATTACATCCTTGCGTAATGTTGACAGCCCAGTGCCCCTGTGAACGAATGTGGGGACCGAAAACGACAAAGGAAGAAAGAACAGAAGAGGCGAACCACAAGTAAAACAGTGAAGACCTGGCAGCAGAGGCAAAACCCACCATCAAAACCTGCGGTTTCTATCATGCTGTGTATTCACCAATAAATTTTTAACCCTCTCTGCCCGCCGACGGAGCCGCACAGGCGACCACGGACCGCATCTCAGTGCCGGGAGCACGCCGAGCGTCAGCTCCTAGAAGCAGCGGACGAACTTGCCGTCGTCGCAGCAGAGCGGCTCTGAGAACCCAGGGCCGGTCCACCTGGTGGGCTGGTCGCAGATAGAGTGGTACAGTTGGGCTAGGATGCCGGCGGTCTCATCACGACCGAGGTTCTGGCAGGCCACGTCACCGACGCTCATGTTGCCATGCTGATGGTGTTCCGGCATGAAGGCTGACCAGCCGCCGGCAGCCTGCAGCACGTCCTTGTGCTCCAAGCACTCCTCAACGCAGAGCTTCTCAGCGCCGGAGTCGCACTCCGCGTCGTACATGGGATGGAATGTAAAGAGGATGGCGTGCAAGAAGATGTTGTGCACGCCCATGCTGCAGTAGCACCTGCGCTCGGGGTCCGGCTGGTGCGTGCTGTGGTCCTGCGCGGCAACAGCCACCGCCATGGCGACGAGGAGGAGCGCCAGCTTCATGACTGCCGACGGTGAAGACTTGCGACCGTAGGCTGCGGCGGATGAGACTGGCGCAAGGGCGTGTTCTGGCGCCCATTTTATTTGAGCCGTATCGCATTCCGCGTGCTCGTGCGTCACTGCCTGGGAAGAGTCAGCTGCGCACCGCCGAGCTAAGCAGCGAACAGGCTTTGATAAAACGACTGACTTGACAACGCACAGTGACCAGAAAATGGAGAGCGATGAGTTCTGAAAAGAGACCATAATTGAACCAAAATTGTCTGCGCATTTCGCCTCACACGATGTTCTCTGCGGAAGATCTCTGTGTTTTACAATGCTTTGATAGTTGGCGGTCCCAACCCACACACGTTGGACTCCGCGGACAGGGGCGGCGCTGTAGTGTTAGGGCACATGCCCGGGCAACGGGAGAACGACACAGCTGCAGGGAAACCACCCATTCGTGGTGCCTTGTACTGCGCCGCCTGCCGCGGCCCCTGCGCCGCCTGCCGCGGCCCCAGCTGTCGGCCGTTCGCCTCCGGGCCATGTGCACCTCTTGCCTTAATTGAGCATTGCGACACGTTACATGAGAAGACGCTCCGTGACATCAAAGACCGAAGGCAGGGGGCAGATCCAGAACGCCGCTTCGGCTTGGGGGACGGGCAACTCCAGCTGTAAAATCCAAAAACGTATCGCGTCTTCTCAAAACGGTACCTTGTTTTTCTTTCCGCTACAGAGCGTCTGAAAACAATTTTTTATGGCTAAAAGATGCCTTGATTATCTTAAAGGTTCTAAAATAAGTAATTTTTGCACAGCTTGACGCATCTGGGGGCATGACCCTGTTGGTTCCCTTGGATTCGCCTTAGCAGAAGAGCATAATAGAGAAACAAAACAGGCGTGGGACCTTGCAAGCCGCAATAATCTCGGTCTTCCTCATCTTCACCAGCCCGTCAGTACCAATCCATCACGTCGCGTAATGAGCATCGGATCCCGCCAAACGCTGCACACTGTTGATACTTGGGAGAGACAGCAGGTTACTCTTGATGAATCTGTTCATAGAGTACCGTGATCGCCGCGAAGCTGTGTCGTGCTGTCCTCCTGGCGCGGACCGCTCGTCCAGACCGATACCTTCTCCTCGCCTGGACGAGCTCCTGGTCTACGATGTCCTCCACACACTTTGTTAGATCCCCGCACGGCAAGGACTGTCTGTCGAGGAAGCCGTACGTGGCGGGTCTCTACGGCAACAATCCTTTGCTACGTTTGACTTATCACCAAGAGGCCAACCGACCCAGTGGAAAACAGACAACGGTCCTTCAGCATGCATCGACAGGGGCATTGTGGTTCATAGCTCATAACAAGCTCGAACCTTCGCTCAACCAGCCGCCCGCTCACCGGATGACAGCAGCGGTCGTAGCAGGGGCGTAGTTTCGAAAAATGATTTTGGGTGCAAGGTGCAGTGACAAAGGACGATACCCCCCCCCCCCACAAAAAAACGCCAACAAACGGGTTCCTCGCCGGATTTCACACTTTCTCCTGAAAGTTGAGGGGCAGGAGCCCAAGCTGGGGGGAGGGGTGGGCCCTTGGCTGCATAGGAAACCACAATCCCGGGCCGTGCCCTGCGGCTGCGTGCTCGAGGAAAGACCGGACACAAATCTGCGCGCTGCTTGAGTCATTAGGCCTGTCTGACTTAGCCCAAGGTCGGATAACGCCCCTGACATAACAATCATTCATCTGGAGTTGATTTACAAGGCATGCAACTCCCTTGGTCATCGAGCGTTGCATGAGCCGCGATGACCATGGCGTTGGGCGGCGGAACGGCCAGCCAGTGGCCGGGCAAGCGCCCACGACCTGGCACACCCCACGGACGAGTGGGGTGTGCGCTCCGACCGAATCACGCGGGCCACCTGGGACAGCACTGGAACCGCACGCTCCCAAGGCTCTCTGCCATGTGTGGCAGCGCCAACGAGGTAGAGAGCATGCACTCGGGCTCATGACGCAGCGTTCTGGGCGGGACGGCTTCTGCTGCGCCTGAACTTCATCAGGTCTGGCCGCTGACGGCTTCTGACGTGCCTGAACTTCATCAGGTCTGGCCGCTGGCGCCTTCTGATGTGCCTGAACTTCATCAGGTCTGGCCGCTGGCGCCTTCTGATGTGCCTGAACTTCATCAGGTCTGGCCGCTGGCGCCTTCTGATGTGCCTGAACTTCATCAGGTCTGGCCGCTTAAAGCTAGCCTCACAAATGGCACTTTAATTCTAAAATTTCAAAAGTGACCATTGAAATCTCAAAGACCCTCATACGATAAAATGTATGCGAGATTTTCAACGCAGGTAGCATTGCTTCTTGTTTTTGTGCACCCAGGCCCAGTAATAATTAATCGTCAATCGACCACAAACTCAGTTATTGATCACCCCACACCTGCAATGTTGTGCACAACCAGTGGCGTCATACCGAAGAGTCGACGTTTGATGGAACACCATCCCTCCGCTTCAAAAGAAAGTCTGATCAATATAGCTTGAACAAAAAGTTCACGGTAGGGAGAAGCGAACTTGGTAACTTGAAAACCTTTCAAAACGTCAAAGCCACCATATTGTCATATGCCGGGTAATAAATGCAGCAGCTTGGATAGCATCCTAGCATAACCGTCATATGCCTCCATTCGAAATAACATCCTCGCCCGCACGTCTGTTCCTCATCACCACGGTCGGAGGCATGTATTCACTATGTTAACAGTCCACACGGTCAGCAGCGCGAATTCGTGAGCCGTCGGTCAGAGGGCATAAACGCGGGGCTAGAAAGAGCGTGCCAAGTGTCGCCTTCTTGCTTATGACGCGTTGTCGACCGCACACGTTCATGAGCGATAAAACAGCTGGAAATCTTAACGTCATGAGCTTCAGCCACGGACATGCGATGAACCAATCCCTCTCGATGTTGTGGCCCACCATGAGGGGGATGGGAATGACCCGCAGAAGATACCCGTACATCTAACGACCAATCAAGCACGCTCAAGCTCTTACGCAGATAACGGAACGGTCCCAGTTCCACGAAACAAAAATTCCTCGGCGCACGCATTTGCGTCTACGTGTATTTGCTACAGTCTCTAATAATATAACATTATGTGGTGCTGCCGTCTCAGACGTGAGCCCAGGCAGTCACTGTCGTCCAGGCGACGGGGAGAGGTTCTGTTGGGCGACGACGCCTAGAAGCATCGGACGAACTTGCCCTTGTCGCAACAGAGCGGCTCCTTCAGGCCGGGGCCGGACCACTTGGTGGGCTGGTCGCAGATCGAGTGGTACAGCTGCGCAAAGATGCCGCGGCTCTCATCGCGGCCGAGGTTCTGGCAGGCCACGTCACCGACACTCATGTTGCCATGGTGATGGTGTTCGGGGCCCATGGCCGACCAGCCGCCGGCGGCCTCCATGACATCGCGGTGTACGGTGCACTCCTCCAAGCAGAGCCCCTCGGCGCTATCCGTGCACTCGGCGTCGTACATGGGGTGGAAGACGTACAGGAGGGCGTGCACGAGGATGTTGTGCACTCCGAAGCTGCAGTGGCACTTCTCATTGGGGTTGGGCGGGTGGGTGCTGTGCTCCTGTGCGGCGACGGCCACCAACATGGCGGCCATCAACGATGCGAGCTTCATCACTGCGGCTGGGCTGAGCAGCGGCCTGTGACCTGGGCAGCGGCACGTGGACTGGTGCAGGGCTGTCTCGTCGCGGCCGCTTTATTCGGCGCGGTATCGCATTAGCTGTGACCGTGCGTCGTCGGCTGGGACTGGCCAGCTGGCCGCCGCTGAGACTCTGCCAAACGCAAACACGCACAAATCTTCCGCGCTCCTCTCCTTAGTTCACACTGTTCAAACATACACGCCGAAATCCCCTGACGGCACACGGACTAGATGAGCACGGATGTAGGCGTGGCACACGGAACGAGCAGATCTTAAACTACGCGTAAATTCGCTTCTTCGCGCCTTTCTTCAACTGTAATTCCCGCCACCTCGGTTTTCGACTCACTTTTTTAGTTTGGCATCCGGTCTAAATTTGCATGTGGGGCCACCACCCGGAGCAGGCCCAGACGCGGCCACCCTCCTGGAACACGCAGTCTTGTTCTGCGGCAGAGCTGGGCAGGCTCCTAGGGCGACTTCCCGTCAGGGAACGTTCTTAGGCAGAGCTGGGCAGGCTCCTAGGGCGACTGCACGTCAGGGGACGCTCTCAGGCAGAGCTGGGCAGGCTCCTAGGGCGACTTCGCGTCAGGGAACGTTCTCCGGCAGAGCTGGGTAGGCCCCTAGGGCGACTTCACGTCAGGTTCATTGCAGCTGGTGCCATCATTTGTTCACCCGCCCAAGCCTGCAGTCTGACTTACAACACGCGCTTCAACCCGCGAGACAGCTTTCTGGGAGAAGGCCTTCTCAATCCCACCAGTTACCGTCACAAATTAACATTGAGATCTGCGGCTTGCAACTTAAATTGCCACTTGGCTTGTTGGTAACGTGCCAACGATTTTAGCGCCACTGGCCGTAGGCATCCGTTCGTGGCGTAGATTCGAAAAGGTAAAAATCACTGAACCATTCATCGATTAATAAGCATTACACTTAACCATATATATATATATATATATATATATATATATATATATATATATATATAACTTTTTACATCCAGCCCACATCGGCATAAGCAATTTCATGCTGGATCAACGTGGAGACAGATTCCAAATGTCAGAAATATGCGATTACTCTCCAGCTCAGCAGTGCACAGATGAGATAACTTTAACAGATAAGCTGGGAACGAATTTGTGAGCGTGGCCAGCGCAGGTGCGAAACTTTTGAAATTGAACTGGAGAGAGAGAGAGAGAGAAACACATCTTCAATCTGATTGCTGGAAAATGAAAATCATACTACGAACATGACAGTCATGATAAAAACAAGCGTGTGCTAATGAGATCTAAAATATACCTTAACTAGCTTTTGTTCATCCCCTACGGTCCAGGGAATCATAGGGTTCGAATTACGAACCTCATGAATTACGAACACGAGCGCCAGGGTAACGCGGCACGACCGGGGCGACACGAGCGCCAGAGTAACGCGGCACGATCGGGGCGACACGAGCGCCAGGGTAACGCGGCACCACGATCGGGGCGACACGACCGCCAGAGTAATGCGGCACCATCGGGGCGACACGAGCACCAGGGTAACGCGGCACGATCGGGGCGACACGGGCGCCAGAGTAGCGCGGCACGACCGGGGCGACACGAGCGCCAGAGTAACGCGGCACAATCGGGGCGACACGAGCGCCAGAGTAGCGCGGCACGACCGGGGCGACACGAGCGCCAGGGTAACGCGGCACGATCGGGGCGACACGAGCGCCAGAGTAACGCGGTACGATCGGGGCGACGCGAGCGCCAGAGTAACGCGGCACCATCGGGGCGACACGAGCGCCAGAGTAACCCGGCGCCATCGGGGCGACACGAGCGCGAGTAGCGCGGCACGACCGGGGCGATACGAGCGCCAGGGTAACGCGGCACGACCGGGGCGACACGAGCGCCGGAGTAACGCGGCACCATCGGGGCGACACGGGCGCCAGAGTAACGCGGCAGGATTGGCGCGGCACGATCGGGGACCCGGCGATGATGCGCCATCGGGACTGTGTGCGACGAACTGTGTCACGCAGCTTTGTTTAAAGTGGGGGGTAATGGGTAATTCAACCGTCGCCACCTGACCCAGGTCCGCCAAGTTCAGACGCTCAAGGGGATTGGGGGGGGGGGGGGGGGTGCCAACACCTTGCTTATTCAGCATATCGTGTGGATTTGGTGATAAATGTGTTAAGAGCAAAAATAACAGGCCGTTAAGTGGCCGTGGTCGCTCTCTACAATGTTTCCGTGGGATATTTTAAGCTATCCGTCACAGCTGGCTGTAGACCATGTCATAGCAAGTTTATGCCAATGCACGGAGTTCTCTATCCCAGCGCAGTAAACCTAGTTATACTTCCAAGCTGGAGTAAACCGAAGTTAAGCAACCAACCATTTCCTACCAAGAGGTAATGCGGTGTAATCCACGACCATCCGATGTAATACCGTGTCATTCCCTTGCACGACATCGAACTCGAACTACACATCAACCACGATGCTACTGGTATACCTTCAACGCACCTTGCGCACCGGGCATAGGGCGACCAGCCTAACAACCGACAGGGGCGTACAAGGCAACCGTGTGGATAGCCTTCTCCGCAAAATGGAGTAGGAGCCATGTATCATGAAAGTCCGGCGACACGGCCGTGTGATTTTAGACCCTCAGCCTGTTATGGCCTCATTTTTGGTGACCTCAGCTCATATACTGACAAATAGCTGTCATTCCGGCACTGACGTATCGCGCCGTGACGTACTGCCGACTGCACTGATGCTATTGTCGAATTTTGAGCTGTAACAATCGACAAATATCTAATTCAACCTTGCATAAACTTTGGAAACGCCCGGCTTTGGCGAAGCTCGGTGTACTACCATATCGTAACCAAGCGATACGATGGAATGTTATGGTACGCTCCCAGATCTGCGAGCGGGCTTGGCAAGGATACACGCCGATGAAATGTTATGGTCGCTCCCAGTTCTGCGAGCGGGCTTGGCAAGGATACATGCCGTTCGACGATATACCAGCTCAGTGAAAACTGCATCAACATTATACATAAGCCTTGACAAACGGACCAGCAGGACGAATTTTCAGTCAGGCCATGGGCACGTACCAGATGCGCATTCCTCAGAACAAACGATCTTAACCATCAGAAACGTTTTTAATCATGACTGCACGAGCAATGCTCTGACGAAACCCTGGCTGTTATGTCCTTTCCCCGGGCTGTTTTGGAGTGACTTCAACCTCACCCTCCTCCCTCCCTGGCCGGATGCTTTAAGTTCCGTTTGGGGGGGAGGGGGAGTGGGGAGGTACGAAACATGAATTACGCGAGGCTAGGTCACAAGACTGGCGGTGAACACACCAAACCGAAATTCTGAGACAGCTTAATTAATTTGCACTTGGTGTCAGGAAGCCCAGCTCCAAAAGGCAGCATGTGCATGAACCATTAGATGTTTCAAACTTGTTCGACCACCACGGACTTCTCTTGGGCGTAGCAATGCAACATAGTTGTGGGTACTCAAAAGACCCTGGATTTACACCTGTAAGCTTGTAGTTGACATCAGCCCGATATAATCGTAAATTAGCTACGTTATGCTTGATATTTGCTGAATTACGTATCGGTGAATGTCATTTCTACCAACGCGTCGAAATGACTGGTAACAGCAAGCCACAGGCAATATTCCTCTGACGAGAATCGAACCCACCCATTCGACCGCGTGGTCCGCTCTGACGGGCGGCATACTGCCAGCCGGCAACTGCCGGGGCATCCAGAGGCACCGTTCCCGCGGTGATCGCCGCCCCACACCGCAAACGTTCGACGCCACACCACCGACGACCAGAGCGTGCCCAGCCCGCCTGACGCCACAGCGCCGAACACCTGAGCGTGCCCCGCCGGCCTGACTCCACAGCGCCGAACACCTGAGCGTGCCCCGCCGGCCTGACGCCACAGCGCCGAACACCCGAGCGTACCCCGCCGGCCTGACTCCACAGCGCCGAACACCCGAGCGTGCCCCGCCGGTCTGACTCCACAGCGCCGAACACCTGAGCGTACCCCGCCGGCCTGACTCCACATCGCCGAACACCTGAGCGTACCCCGCCGGCCTGACGTCACAGCACTGACGACCCGAGCGTACCCGGCTGGCCTGTGACTCCGCCGCATCGCCGCGGCATGTTGGTGTCCCGATGCCGCCGGACGAGTCGCCAGGCTCGCCCCGTCCGGCGGGTCAGCACCCGTCACGGATCACGACCGCGCGCGCGCGCGGAAATGAATCACGGCCATCCGGCGACACCGCCACGGGTCACGCTCGACGAGCAGGCGCTAAACAGCGACAATGTGCAGCAGCGGGGGTGGCACGCACCGGTGGTGTCGGTGGGTGAGGGGAGGGGGGGTCCTGTCCGGCCCACCCTGCTACCGCAGCCGGACACTGCCCACGCAGCCTGTGTCAGTGGCTGTCTGACTCCGGCGCCTGTGCCAGTGTCTGTCCACTGCAGCCTTCGACAGCAGTGGCACTCACCCGTGCAGCCTGTGTCAGTGGCTGCCTGACTCCGGCGCCTGTGCCAGCGTCTGTCCACTGCAGCCTTCGGCAGCAGTGGCACTCACGACCACCGCGCAATGACGTGTGTTGATGCGTCACTAGAAGCGTACGAGCAACAAAAAAAAGCGACGAGCATTGACAGTTATGGCGCATCGTTTATGGCATACATGCCATCCACATGTAACAATCAACGCATGGAGTTAGAAGTCATTGTCAAACTTACACCTTGTGATACTTGTATTTCCTGTGCGGCAGGTGTTCTTGCCATTTCTGGCCTTTCTGGTGTTTTAATATTGTGTCTGCTTTCCTGTCTTTTGCCGAGCGTCCGCGACCACGACGGTCACTTCGGAGAGGACATAAAGCCACAGGAAATCAAACCGGGGGTCGCCAGTGAAACTCCGCTTCATTACAAACTGACCTATATCGCCCAACAAACTCCGCTTCATTACAAGCTGACCTACATCGCCCAACAAAGTCCGCTTCATTCCAGACTGACCTACATCGCCCAACAAGCTTCCATGCGGCATTTCGCAACATAACGTCCGATGAAGACGCGCGTCAAGTCGGCTGCACATTTCCCACAGCATCCACGAACGGGCCAACTTGCAGCAGCGTAAGGTGGACCACTCGCCGAACCGTTCTGTCGCAGCCGTCCGGCTCAGAGGCGGATCATCCCTGCGCCGATGGCGATGTCCCCAGCGCGGACTCCGTCCCCTCTCCCCCCCCCCCCCCTCCCCCGCCCCGCCGAAGCTCGTCTGGTTACGTTACGATCAGGGACGGGCTGCTCCTGTGTTAGAACACTTCCGGGGTAAAAGACCGCAGAATCCGCACAGTTTTATAATCAGAAAACCTTTTGGAACTCTCCCCCCCCCCCCCCTAACACGGCGCTCTGGATCCGTCCTTGGCTAACAACGCAACGAACTGGACCGGTACGTGCTAAGTAAATAACAGCTGCCGTACAAAACCAAAAGCAGAAGACTTTTGGAGGACCATGTGCCAACCATTTCTGCCATTTAACTGTTTTGAGGTTTATGCACCTTGAACACGCCACTATTCCGCTCTGCAGCAGCATGGCTTACAAAGAACAAGCATGCCAGCATTGTTTCCCACATACAAAAAATATCGCCGCGTGATGGCAACGCACGCTCGTGGCGGCACCACATCCGGCGGCGCTGCGCTCGTCAGGCGGCCGTGACGTCACGCCGGCAATAACGGGCTGGGGCGCGGCTATACGGCATAAATATAACAGACATGTCATATATATATATATATATATATATATATATATATATATATATATATATATATACTCCACTTTCCACCATTACACCGTTTCCACCATACCATTCCACTTTTTGATGTTGCAAATCTGCAACGCGTAGTTCTGTATCTTTCCAGTACATATTGGCACTGCGTACCAATTCTTCAAAAAGCACAACTGACATCCTCTCGTAGCATCTTTTTCGTCCTGACGTATTTCATTAATATGATGAGCAAGAATCACGGTCCCTCGTCTTTTCCCCAAAGCAACGCGACGTAGCACACTTCTCAAGAGACACTTGCCACAATCAGGGAGTATGTCCCCATTTTTGCTCGCCCACGTGGTTCGGAAGAAATCCGTACCAATCATGGCATTTCCAACGAAATGAAGGTATCTCCGGGTATACTGTGAGAATTTAAAAGCGACAAACAGGTTACCCCACAACCACGCCGGCGACTGAGAGCCCATGTCGCTCGCCTTGTTGCCCATGTTGCCATGTTGCTCGCTGACAGCGACACCAACTAGATCGGTGCACGCTGGTTGGTAACAGACCGTGTGCAACGCGACTTTGTGACATTGGCAGCGCATGTGCCGACCGTCCTTGCCACCCAGTCACTGTGGAGTTTATATATGTTGATGCCGTCATTTTGCTGGCGTCCACCACCGCCGCGGTGGCGCCGACCTAAGGCAGCATGACATGACGTCATGCGTGACGTCAGAGCAGACGTCTGCCGTGGTGGCGCCGACCTAAGGCAACATGACATGTCATGTGTGACGTCAGATCAGACGTCCGCCGTAGAGACCCAGGCTCCGGAAGTACTCACCACCACCAGGTACTTGATGCGGTGCTGGTAGGCACCGAAGAAGCCGAAGATGACGGCGATCAGCTGCAGGAAGTTGGCGATGATGGGCAGCCACATGTACCCGAGGAAGTCGAACACCTCCCGCTCCACGGTGGCAAGCTACGGCAATGGCAGCAGCCATTCAGACACTTCCTCGCGGTGGGCCACTCTCAAGTGTTCAGACACTTCCTCACGGTGGGCCACTCTCAAGTGTTCAGACACTTCCTCGCGGTGGGCCACTCTCAAGATACTCTTTTGAAGTGGTGCATCCTATGAACATCTACAGCTCATAAAGGAATTCCAGTGTCAGCATATGATGTGGGAATGACCATTATTTTACTAATGCCTCTCTATTGTAACCACTGCAATACTGCATATGGCAAGCGTGACCAGAACTGTGCATAGGTCACAGCAACATAAATGTATGCAGCAATATACAGAGTAGCACAACATAACTGTGATTAAGACAAGGATGTTGTCATGACACAGTCTTGTCGAAACATTTACCATGCACGCATGCTGCAACAGAGCAAGTGGTTCACCCTTGTTGGGCAATCAAGATAATGAGGACTTTCAATACCATAAGAACTATTGCTCAGTTGGAACACTTACCAGCTGGACCACACATACTGTGATCAGGCCACTTTTTCCAGTGCAGCGTTTCATATCATGCTGCTTCAGGCAATCAATGTCACATGCTCACTTCTGTTTGGCAGCAAGTTTGAATAAAGTCTGCAATTAGATGGAGATATTTTTTGAAATGACAAGCATTCACACAATGTTAAAATTTTCAATAACCCTGTTCCAAAGTAAGTCATATTGTATATAGTAGCATTTAAAACACTCTACAGCATAAAATGGTTATTCTGAGTGTTGAGTCAATAATGTCAAGAGCTGAGACACTTAAACACATATGCATCCCAACAATTACACAGGGATACATCAAAGGCATACATACAGAAAGTATGCCTCAGGTACACATGCATGCCTTCATTCCATCAAAGCTAATACATTGCACTATACATATATACTTTTTATATTTTATATTTATATATTGATATTTGCATATATGCATACATGTGTATATATATTATACATATTTTGATACAACACATATATAACACAGGAGACTGTAGGCTTCTTAAGCAATAAAACTATGTCAGTGTCACTACTACCACACTTTCAAGGCAGCTGATAATGCACTTGGTTGACAGCGCTCCAAAAGAGCATGTGCATTCAGGAAAGATCAATACCATCCGCAGATGGTATTTCTTATTATTCAGCACATGCTTTGTTCCTTGAATTGTTATGCTCCTAAAAAATGTTTACCACCTAAACTGAACTATATGCAATTTGGTGGTTGAACTGAACTTCATGAAACATAACTGTTATATTAACTGTAATATGTAATCATATGTTTGTTACTTGTTTGCAGTATGTATGCACCTTTGAAAATGGAATATGTTATTCTGAAACATTGGTACCATCAATAGATGCCAAACATCAGTAAGCACTTTTAGTTTAATGATGTGCAGAGAGCTATAATTAGAAAACTCAAGCAAGGAGAGAAAATTTTATAATACTTAATGATACTTGCATATATATATATATATATATATATATATATATATATATATATATATATATATGTCACATTACATATAAACATACATATATATTACTAAATACATTTAGCAAAAAACTGTTGAAAGCATCAACTCTTGCACCTATGCAATGGTCCAGTAAGCCTTTCTTACCAAGAAACAAAAAACATGAGGCATGAGGCAACAACCATGAGACTGTTCTCACACCAATCACGAAGGCCAAAAACCAGTAATATACTGATGTCATACAATGTGAGGAAGAATCATTGACTAGAATATTGTAGTGGAAGTTGGAAAGGCAAAAACTGGGAGCAATAACTGCTAAGCAGAGGAAATTAAGCTGCAGGCTGCAATTAAATTTGTCAATATAGTTTAATATGAAATATTATGCAAACTGCAGTGTCCTACAGCAAGGCTTCATGGTGATGCCATCCAGAAGTTTAATACGTTTGGATGCACCATTTCCATACCAGTGGAAAGCTTACATTTGCAAGTTCTGTTTTCTATGCAAGTTAATCTCATATACTGTACTGATGTCCTATATTGAAGTATATCACAATGAACAAATCTACAGTTTGCAATCTATTCAGGTAAAACTTACTGTAAATACTTGGTAGCTTCCAGACTGACTGCAGAACAAGAACTGCCAACTCAAACCACAGCACCATACTCATTTTTCTAAACTGAATGGCACAGCTTGCACTAATACAGGTTGATTTTCTTATTATCTTAATGGGATATTACCCAAAACCAGGGTGATAAAAACATGCTCAGATACAGGAAGGCATTGGGGTTTGAGTTCTGAAAAATGACGTAAAATGAATAATAATCACATACTTATACACATTTTCAACTGATGTCAAATACAAATTATGAAACATATAATGGCAAATTTAGTCAATCAGATCAACGTCCATATCTGCAACAAACACTGAAAAGTTTTGACAATTTTGGTGTTTTTGGCTCCATAATTTCAATGGCTGTGCTACGTTGGGAGGCAAATACAATATTACAAGTGCATCTTGATGTTTGTTTTATCAGCATATTCACATAGTTGGTTAATATACAATGATGATTTTATCAGCACATTCAAATGATGAGATAATGCGCAAAGATTATTATTCACAATGAAGAAGCTGTGACTAGTCCCAAAAGCTTTTACTAATCATTTCATCTTGCCATAAGCAGCAACCAAGATTCACCTCTCAATGAGGTGAAACCACAATTCAGACCTTCATAGTGTGCTCAACATACTAAAATGACCTGAGCACTCAGTTGGCAAACAGCACCACGTTGACAGCCAAGCCAGTGAAACATAATTTGCATAATGTATTCCGAATTTCAGATATTTATTCAACTATTCTTTATGCATCTATGTCCGGTGTAGATAAAGCCCACAAACTGTGCTTTCCCATTCAAAACAGATGGCTTCAATGGCATTTCATGTGTTATTTTTATTAACAAAGCCGTCCGAGGTGAAGCGAGAGACCGAACCTGAGCGGATCAAAGAACAATTCAACATGAAACATCCATTACGAAGCCTATTCGTTTCGTGTGTGTTCTGAAACACAAAGCTACAACAAAAACTGTCCGGTTTTAATCTGTAGGGTATAATAACCGTCCACCTAGGGCACACTTTGCAACACGAAATCAAATTACGCACCTCCACAACCCTCTACCCTTTCACTCCCGGGCCGCCGGATATGACGCACGGCGGGACTGGATTGAACAGGTGTTTTGCCAGACCAGTTATTACCAGACGGGTGACCGCATAAGTCTTCATATGGGTGTCCCAACACCTCTATAAAGTACATGTCTTTCGCTAGGTTCTGGCCGTGTCGAAATAACTATACAAGTTTTCTTTGTTTCCTCTTTTTAAACCTATTCTCCTTCCGTTAAGAGTTATGGCGTCATGTAAGTTTTCCAATTTTTGCATAGCTGACGCTGCGATTCATTGTAACGACCGGTGAAAGGGCGATATATTTCAGGGGGTCACGCGACTGTTTTATCGTTCCGTTGTACTTTTGCCCACTGGAATAAGCTCGGGTAGTCACCTAGTGTATGGGAGAGCGCACCGAGCAAGCGGTGGGGGGGGGGGGGGGCAGGAATGCGCCCTCTGATAATCTTGCAATGAAGTGTTACGTCTGTTGCACTGTGTGGAAGAGATGGACGTGAAAACGCATGCGTCCTGTAAACCCCACCAGGGTGCTGACGGCTGGCATGTCCAGTGCAGGTTTACTGTGGTGTCGGTAGCACTCCACCCCACGTGTCATTAACGCTACGTCCAGTGTGGGCTCACGTGGTATCGGTAGCACTCCACCCCACGTGTTATTAAAGCCATGTCCAGTACAGGTTCACTGTGGTGTCGGTAGCACTCCACCCCACGTGTTATTAACGCCATGTCCAGTGCAGGTTCACGAGGTATCGGTAGCACTCCACCCCACGTGTTACTTAACGCCATGAAAATTTCCCAGTCGGTGATTAAGCACACCATGTCCCGGCTCCACCCCGAACACTGTAGGGAGGGATCCGTTGACCGACACAAGGGCCGCACATTACGGCCATCTCCCATTGTCTTCTGGCCACCCGGCCAACTAGAGATCAATGGCCATGTTCAACACGTTGACACGGTGCCACTGCCCATTTTATTATATCTTTCGTGACGGAGGACAAAAAAACTGCTTACTTACTTGACAACACTAGCTGATGTCATTCCTGCGAACGCTGCCAACAGTCAGGTAGACACAGGACGGCGTTGAAAAAGCTGTTTCTCCTCCCTGCGTTCAGACCGAGCGGTCAAACCCTTGAAGAGCGCGGGGGCGGGGCGCTCGGCCGGCCTGACAGCCCAGCACATTCCCGTGCCCGTGTCCATGCCTTCCCTGTATGCCTTCCCTCTCTCCCCTGTGGAAACAGTCCGACAGTGCGGTCCCCGAGTCCATTCTCTACTGGCCCTGCCCGCTCCCTTGATGTTCCCTCCCCCTCTCCCCTGTGGAAACAGTCCGACAGTCCGGTCCCCGAGCCCTTTCTCTACTGGCCCTGCCCCGCTCCCCTTCTGTTCCCTCCCCTCGGCATGGCGAGAGCTGCATTGGAGACAGGACCGGAGTCGTCCGGACGGAGCATTGGTAGCGGTTGCAAGGGGCTTATATTTGAAATGGTCGACTTTCAATAGCGTTTGAACATATTTTTATCTATACGAATTCTGCAGCAGGTCTTATTTTTTTGGAGACAGCAGTGACAACAGACAGCGGATATCACGCCCTATGACGTCAGTTTAAAACAAATGAACTTTCGGGAGACGAAAGGGATATGAAAGCTTTAAACAAGTCGCCATTGTACACATAAGAATATAGACGATATGTTGCTGCCACCATGCCGCACACAACTAGATGAAAAGCGTAAAATACGGCAATTGACGTCGTAATAGTGTCTACCGTAACCCTTACCTCTTGTTCGCCGTGGGCTCATCCTTTAACCACATATGCGTGCGCGCCTCCGGGCTTCGCCGGATGTCGGAGCCTTTGGCGGGGGCGCCAGATTGGGAGATAAAAGATTTTGCCCATCCGCGTTTGTTTGTTCGTTAACGATAAACACCAGGTTTTCTTAGTCGTGCATCGTGCTCGTGGGGGGCCCAGACGCATGAGCCCAGGGTACCACATCCACCACGTCAAAAAGTGAAGTGTGGACATGATAAGTGCCTCTTCGAGAGATTGTGGAAGAAGTTCCAAAGGCACATAGTCAACGAGAGTAACTCCAGCCGTGTTTTGCTGAAAAGTTGCGGTTTTGTTGCGGTATGAAGATGGCAGGCACCGACGTCACAGAGTGGTGGGTAATCATTAATGGGGAGATTGGTGTGGCCCACATCAGAAATGTCTTCATATTCCTGTTGTTGATCTTGGAGGTCATATTGGTGCAAGGGAACTTCATTTTCCTTTTATTACCAGTATTTACAGCATGCCCCAGCTTTATCAACATCGTGGGGGCTGTATATGAAACTTGTAAAAGGTAGTGAAGCAATCTAAATATGAGCTAGCCTATTGCTTGTGGTATTTTCAGTGTCCAAATCCTGTTTAAAGTACGAATTTGTCCCATATAACACGGGAGATGCCCCGCTAAATCTGCTTGCCTCTAGTCGAAGGAATCTCAGCAGTTGAGCGCGCCCAAAAAGGCAACACTCATAAGAGGAAACTTGTTGGAATACAGCTTTTAGGTACTGTGTATAGTAGATGGTTTAACTGTAAAAACATTCAGGGAGATAAATATAAATAGCCTGTTGCCTTGAATGGGCTGGGAAGTCAGGCTGTGGGTCCGAAAAGGGCATCTGGGAAACAGTCCAGCATACCTTTCGACCTCTGTTTCCTACACCGTGCAGGACCTCAGCTGCAACCACGGAAGGTCGGCGTCTAAGGCGCCTCAGTAGCTCTTCCACTCTTTTTCATTTTCACAGCTCGTATGGGAAGATTTGAGCTTTTAAAGAGATCAGGGGCTTTCGCACCTAATTTGCGTGTCCGTGTTAGTCATTCAGAGATAGAGGCACACATTGGACCGTTACTGTACCGTAATCCAGATGCCCATTCAGAGCTGTATCTGGGGCTTTTAAAGGTGGTTTCAGCGCCGTGTCTAGCTTTCGGCCGTGTCAATGTCCGCCGACCGACGCCGTGGCAGTGTCTAGCTTTCGGCCGTGTCAGGGTCCGCCAACCGACGCCGTGACACCTCAGTGGCTTTCAGTCGTGTCAGGGTCCGCCGACCGACGCCGTGACACCTCAGTATCTGAATCCACTCTCGTTGCTTCTATCGCTGAACCTGACCACACCAGGAACTGGGCCGAACTTTGGGGTCGAAGTATATCACATAGCATCTCTGATATCTAAGGAATGAGCCTTTGGTCCAGGGATGGAACAGATTGCGGATCATGCACTTAATAAGAAAGGCTTCATGACGTTGGGACCCGCTGTCGTCTCAGAACTCGTCGGCCAATTTGAAGTCGCATTACTGTTTTGGACTTTTGTTCCATACAAAGCATTTTACCGGAAAGGCAGATGGCCTGTTCCAAAACGTTTAAAGTCAAGCTTATTTTGGGAGGCCACCACCGCCTCACAAATCCTTCACTCTAAGGACCTTCTCGCTCCCTGACGGTACCGTGGCCTGTGCTCGCTTCGGAGGCCCTGACCGTACCGTGGCCTGTGCTCGCTTCGGAGGCCCTGACCGGTACCGTGGCCTGTGCTCGCTTCGGAGGCCCTGACCGTACTGTGGCCTGTGCTCGCTTCGGAGGCTCTGACTGTACCGTGGCCTGTGCTCGCTTCGGAGGCCCTGACGGTACCGTGGCCTGTGCTCGCTTCGGAGGCCCTGACCATCAGTGGACCAGTTTAGGATTCGGGGCTATGTTAAAAGCCCATAATCTTTCCACAGTGGTAGTGGTCGTGGTCGGTGGTAGTCGGGCTTGGGCAGGGCTTCATACTTGGGCAGGTTTTTTATAAGGGACGACTATGTTCACTTGATCAGGTTCCTCCAAGATGTTCGCCAGTGGTTCCGAAGCGAGTTCCTTTCATGTTCGCACCTAGTACATAAGTGATCGAAAATCTCCTTGCATGGGCGGTTTGTAAAGATGTTTACAAAACTCAATGCCTGTAAATCCTACAAAAATGTTATTGTAAACCCGCCCGAGTCAACGAGTTTCCCTCAGTGAACTAGCCGGATGAAAGTTGTGACTGCTGCCACACATGTCATGGCGCAGCCTCCACCTATGAACAGAGACCATCAGCCATGGGAGCCTTTGAACAGTTCAAGCGCATGCATCCAATGACCCTCTTTGATACACTTAGGTCAATGTACACTTAGCTTAAGAGTGGCCTACGGACTAATTGATTATGTAGTACCGCACAAGTGCTGTTTACTGAAAACTTGGGTCTCTCACTTGCGCCTTCAGTTTCCTGAGCCACATGCCCGCTGGAATGCAGTACATGCTTCTACAATGTTACAAGCTCTCTATCTTTGTCGTGCCAAGGCTCGAGAAAATCGCTGGGGAAGCTGAGGAGGACTCTTAGTGCTTCCCATGACTACGTGATGGCGCCAGCCAACATGCATGGAATTCAAAGCGTTTTGCCTGGTTAAACCCTAGATCCTAGGGATATCTAAAAAGGCAGCTCAGTGCTGCACTCGTGCGATGCGCTCGGAGGTGACGCCACGTACAGACCAAACTTACAGACCACTCTCACAGGTGGCAGCACAAGTCTTTCAGCGGAAGTCGGAGATAGTACGACAGACGGTCATGACTGGCAGACAGCATCAGGAGAGCATCCCCCTGCGGACTGCCGAGTGGTGAAGACCGATACATGGTGCAGAAATCCCGCGGCTACCGGAGTTTCAAAGCTCTTGTCATTTGCGCGGGGGGGGGGGGGGGGGGCGCACCCCGGCAATGAAACAAACGTCAATGATTTCGAGTGGATGCCTGTAGATGGCGCGGCCGCGGTCATTCGATGCGCATGGTGTAACACTGCCTTAAAATGGGCCACGGCTGTTTGCCGTGTGTCTTCGCAAAGGATCGCTCGTGGGTGTTGAGGTCCACAAACACTCTGCAAATCTTCATCAGGACCCACCGTCTCCAACCAGCCACGGTGATAGGTCTTAGACCGCGTGCGGGAGGATTGCTTCGGCATCGCTGGCTCCTTCATTTAATTGATCGCCATTCACATCGTCTTGATTTAAGATTGCATAC